AATAAAATAAAGAATAAATCTAATTTTCATAGGCATTTAGTATAGATATGGTTCAAATAAAATGAAATAATTGTACCAGAAAATAATAACTACCAAATAATAAAATTAAGCTTGCTTGAATTATTTATTTATTCAATGTTTCAGACGAGTATATTATTATCTTCAACACCAATATCTATGTCACGGGAATTAAATTCATGAACCTTCTCTCTCTCTCTCTAAGAGAGAAATCAAGCTAATTTAATCACAAAAAGATGAACAAGAAAATCTACATCAAGAGCACACCATCAAATCAGCATCAAATCTTATTTCTTTCTACACCAATGATAATTGTCATAAAGATTAGAGCTCACTGAAATACTGACATGAAGCAAAAGCATGAGATACTCCACTGAAACATACAATAGGCCAAATAATGGCCATGACAATTTTTATCCATAGAACTTAGAGTTCATTTGGTGCGGCTTTCTTGCTGCTTCTTAAAACAGCTTTCTAGTATATAATTTTTAATTTTTGTACTAAAAAGTTGCTTAAAAAAGCAGTAAGAAAGCCGTCCCAAACGAGGCCTTAATCCCAGCACCTAAAATAAGTTTGAGAATGAAGGAATGTATATTCATGGAAAAATCAAACCATAGCTAGGAGGTTGGCGCACTAACTTATTTTTTGCAAATTTATCAAGTTAAATGATCAACATATAAATAAACACCTAGAACCTCAAATCATAATGCCAACACCTCAAATTCAAAGCTAAGGTCAAAAACTATCCTTCATAAGTAGAGTAGTTCAAGAAACCACTGAAATTCTTGCTATAAAATATGAAATAGGCCCTTGCATTATAAAGGACCTTATGAAATAGCCCTTGATAATCCCCATATTTACACTTAAAGGGCATTACAAGCCGCTACAAAAATTTACAAGCATTACAACAGATATGATTCAAGAGCACAAGTAAATTTTTGCTTTACTTCGTTAAAATGCTTTTGTTGCAGTCCTTATTTTCTGAAAATCTCTTTTATCCGAGAAATATATTATAAGAATCAATAATGATACTAAAACCTATGATAAGGTCCTTATATAGAAGCCAGCCAAAAAATCATGAAAAAGTCTGCTTCATGAGTTTTTTGGGCTAAGCATCTTTGAAGTCATCATGGTCAGCTGCACGACCTCTTTGCATACAATAAAACAAAGAAAATGTGTGGCAAGGACATCAACAGACATTTTTGCACATTGATTATGAAATCAAGGAGAATTTAAAAATTAAAATTGGGTGAAGCTTCATTCTATAATAAAAAAATTTAAGAGGAATTTAACTACTTTTTTAGTAAATCTTCACATGATGAAAGATGGCAATCTTGCAATGTATTTGCAGCATATCAATGGGTAGCACAGCCGTACCATATGTGGGAAAATATCAATGTTATAGGGTAGTGTGATTATATATTTTGGACAACCGTGCCATTCACTATTTTCTTGCGAGGGCAAAATCCATTTTTATGCTATGTTCAAGCAATAAAAAATTTCTTCTTCAATCTGTGGATGTGCTAAAAAGATGTCAGCTGTGTTGAGAATGAGTGTGTTGATTCCTATCTTTAAGAATAAAGGTGATGCACAAGATTGTGCAAATTATAGAAGAATTAAGTTGATGTGTCATACTTTAAAATTATGGGAGAGAGTTATGAAGCATAGTTTACGGCATGATACTAATGTTGCTCAAAATCAATTTGGATTCATGTCGGGCAGAGGTCTACTATGGAAGTCATATATTTATTGAGAGGTTTGATAGAGAAGTATAGAGAGAAAAATGAAGATCTTCATATGATATTTATTGATTTTGAGAAAGCATATGATAAAGTTCCAAGGGAAGTGTTATGGAGAGTTCTAAAAAAGAAAGGGATTAATAATGATTATATTCAAGTCATTAGGGATATGTATGCTTGAGCTATTACTAGTGTTCAAACACAAGGTGGTTTGACCAAGTATTTTCAATTTTCAGTTGGATTATATCAAGGATCAGTCTTAAGCTCATATCTTTTTGCTTTAGTCATAGATGTTCTTACTAGAGATTTGCAAGAGGATGTTCCCTGGTGTATGATTTTCGCTGACGATATTCTTCTTGTTCATAAGACTAAAGAGGGAGTTGAAGGTAAGCTTGAATTATGGAGGTCAACCTTAGAGTCTAAAGGTTTTCATTTGAGTAGATTTAAAACCAAATACATTGAGTGTAATTTTAGTAGTAGTAGATCTAGTGGAGGGTTTGTGACTTTGAGCGATCAAGTCATTGATAAGAGTACATGTTTTAGATATCTTAGGTATATTGTTCAGAGTGCTGGTGAAATAGATGAGGATATTATTAGTAGAATTCAAGTTGAATGGATGAAGTGGAGGAATGCATCGGGCGTGTTTTGTGATATAAAAGTACCGCTCGAACTTAAGGGAAAATTCTATAAGATGGTGGATAGACCTGCAATGCTTTATGGCGCATAATGTTGGCCACTAAAAGAGAAGCATAATATTAAGTTAAGTGTGGCCGAGATGTGGATGCTCAGACGGATGAATGGCTTTACTCTTAGAGACAGAATACGAAATGATCATATATGTGAAAAAGTTGGAGTAGCTCCAGTGGCAGATAAGATTAGAAAGAGTCGCCTTAGATGGTTTGGTCATATAAAACGGTGGCCTTCTAATGATCCGGTTAGGTGAGTAGATGTATTAGATTTAACCTATATTAAGAAGGGTAGACGTAAACCTAAAAAGACTTGGTTATAAAATATTAGAAATGACCTTTTTTTATTAGATCTAGATGAGAAATTGACTCTTAACTGGACACAATGGAGAAAAATGATTCATGTAGCCGACCCCACGTAGTGGGATAAAGGCTTGATGTTGTTGTTGTTGTTGTAATATGTGGATGTGCTATATATAAATGCGGTTTTAAGAGTGGTTTTAAGCCAATCACGGTAAGATCAATTGATTTTTCTTTTCATTGGTCATAAATTCCCTTCAATCTTAAAAATTATATCTTCCATTTTTCACTTTTGTTTGCACCAACATTAGCCATGCGATTGCTCTAAAGAGTTTCAAGTTCATACCATACCTGTGGTACGTTATGCTTAGCCATGTTATGCTTAGGCTAACTCAACCATCATATATTGGAACCTCTTCTCTAGTGATGGGGAGTTTATGTTGAATGAATGTAAGACCCTCATAAACAACTATTGGACTTGGTATGATTACAACTTAATTTGTCTTCTCAAGAAACTGTGGAGGACAGGGCGAAAGAATTGGGAATCTACATAGGTGAATTTCGAGAGGTCGACAATCTTATTGCGAGTAATTCTGAGAGAACTAGTATGTTGTCAACATAAACTTATAGAAGCCGAGAAGACTTACTAAGAGGACCTCAAGCACAATATCTGAGATTCTAACACGAGAGTCGAGCAACTTCGTGACTAAGAAGATTGTCATTGAGAGTTTACAATGTTATCCTGATACCAACTAACAATGAAATCGGCATCGAAGTAGGTGTAGCCTCCTTGTTGCTTTCACAAGTGTAACAAGGATTTCATGTAACAAAATTTACTGCTCTTTTTATTGTAACTAACATGCTCTATTTAAATGAAGGCCTGCTATATAAGAACTTGGGGTGAGATTCTATAGAATAGTAAATTTATAATCCCAAATAGTAGACAGAGGCTCAAAGAAGTTGGAGAAGACTGGAGATAGAGAATATTCAAGGGGGGAGTTCTATTCTTGGTCCTTTGACTAGTTTCTTCTATTAATGAAACAATAGTTTATTTCTCCCACAAAAATCTAGATTAATTCTCATTCCACCTACTTGATGTAATGGTCAAATATTATTTTAGTGTTTTGCAAGAGTTTTGAATTAAGTAAATATCAACAAGTTAGATTTGGAACTTTGGTGCATGGTGTCAATAAAAAGCATCTAAAATGTAGGTTGGCAAACTGCTTTTTGTCTTGGATCATCCATGAGGATAATGGAAAGCTATTATGGCAACTCTAAACGGAGAAAGCTTCGGCGACTTGCCTAACTAAGTTGCACTCTTTCAACAGTAGATAGTTGTGATAATGGGCATATTGACCAAGCAAATCCCAACGATAAATCAAGAACCAACTTAACAGGACAAGAAGGATTGATTCCAAACAAAAATCTCACCATTATGACAACAAGAAGCTGATAAATATTTTTACACGCAAGAAGAGGACTCAGACATGGATCTTAATCTCTATATTGGTGAGCGGCTTTCAAGGTAAAAGCCAAAATCAATATCTCCACCTTTGTCAATTACATTAACAATGAGGGACTCAATGCAAAGGTGGATCAGCTCGAAGCCCCTTTTTGATCTTTATGGTATTCTTCCCAATAGAAATTTTCCTACACCCAATGCAAAGGTGCCGAACGTTTATATGTTATATGTATTAATTCGACAACAGAAACAGCACACTAGATATGGAATATTTACCAAACATTCTTAGCTTCTTTTAGCAATTCAACTTGATCCCAGCGAGCTATTGCTATTTTTTCCATATCAAACCCACATTAGTTTTATAGTAAAAGAAATAACAGAACTGTAATTGGACTTTACCCCACGCAATGGGATAAAGGCTTAATGTTGTTGTTGTGGTAATAAGTTGTGCGAGGAAGACCTTGGTCAGGATGCCCTCCGATTTCAGCACCAAGGCTCGGTAGCAATATCATTTTCTCGACCAAAAAAAGGCTGATAAAAGATATATCTTTCATCTAAATAAACAGATGTCGATGTTATTTTCTTCGAACCCTAGAATCTCAAGCATCAAATTAACAAATTACGATAGATAACATTTTCCCCCCCTCAATACCAAGGTAATGCAGGCTTTCCACAGTGAAAGAAAAGATGTTATAAAGAAGCAAGCAGAATAGTGGATTTGCTAAGGCGGGAAGAAGAAGCAAGCTTTAAAGACCAGAGTCTAGCTTTAGTCGAGAAGGCAACAAACTGAAGAAATCCGAGCAGAAAATCATACGCGTCATCCATTTTTGTCCGTCTTAAATTGTAATTTCACTACTACAGAAAGGTAAAAGTAAGAAATTTACTTCTGGAAAAAAAAAATTTCCAGGAAAAGAAAAATTAAGGAATCAAACAAGCTTCAACTAATTCCAAACGTAGTTCAGGAAAGAATGAAAAGTTCGGATAAGTAGAATACACCATAGAAGGATATGGTAGTGGAAAAGTAACAGAATTTACTAAAATCTATGAGTCCGACCAGAGCTCGGAGTGAGCCTGTTGTTCTTCCTGCTGCCTCCTTTTCATCTCGTTCTGGTATCTCCTTATCTCCTCATTCCTCCTCTCCTGCATCGAGAAAGGAACAAGAATTAGGAGGCAAACGGCGTAGGGAAGGAGAGAGAGAGCGCGCGCGCGCTCGCGGAGTTGCCTTGTAGCTGATTTCGACACGGTGCATCACATAGAAACCGAGGACTCCACCGAGTATGGTACCCGTCACTATTCTTACGTACGCCCACCGCTGCGAAACCATTGTCGCCGCCCGTCGTCGTCGTCACCGTCGCCTTCGCCGCCCGAAAGTGAGTTCCGAGCCTCGTACCCTTATGCTGACCTGTAAACGGGTCGGTGACACAAGCGAAGTTAGAATCATGGCTGATGGCTCCTTAGGATGACCTAAAAGAAATGGTTTTTTTTTTCGATAAATTAAAATGCATATATTTAATAATTTAAATTTTACTATTTATTTAATATAGTTTTTTCTTTAAACATTTAAATTTTCATGCACACATTACGTACACAAAATTAGAACTCAAAATATATTAATTAATAATCAAAATTCGCAACCAACAAACCAAAGTAACATACATTATTTAATATAGTTTATTGTTAGTAGAGTTCATGAAAGTCGTGACGATCTCATTAGGCACCAAAAAAATTGCAATTGGATCCCATGGAGGAGAATATCAAAACACGACTCCAAACGCTCCTAGCTCTCTTGTGCACCTATGCTCGTCCCTCTCTCTTTCTCTCTCTACCTTCTATACCTAGTGCTCCTACTCGCAAAGATCGTCGACATAAAAAGCAAGGAAGCCACCATAGGAGATTGTAAGAAGTGCAAATCCCCCGTGTTAATTTATTAGCATGATTGTAACTAAAAGGATGAGAAAAGTTTCATTTTTAATGTTATTTAAAATTTTGAGGGCTATTTATGTAAATAGTAAAATTTAGATGTCAAATACATAAATCTTATAATATTGAGTGTTATGTATATAAATCTTTTTTTCGTTTGCGTTGTTAGATAGTTTTACAGTTTATTTTAATTTATTTTTTAGTTGTAACCATTTCTATTTTGCATCTTTTAGTTATTTCCTTATAAAAAATGTTATTAAATTCTTTCATATATTCAATCTCCCTTATCTTCAATTTAGTTTTTTTTTTTAATAGCATATGATTACATGAAAAGATTGAAGTTGCTCCAGTGGCGAATAAGATTAGATAGTCGCCTTAAATCATGTGTACACATAAAATGTTGCCCTTCTAATGCCTCAGTTAGGAGAGTAGATGTATTATGGTGAATATTAAGAAAGATAGAGACAAACCTAAAAAGACTTGTTTAGAAAGTATTTTAAAAAGAATAAAAATAATATTTTTATTAGATTCAAATAAGAATTTGACTCTAAATATGGCACAACGGAGAAAAAAAGATTCATGTAATCAATCTCACATAGTGGGATAAAGATTTGATATTTTTGTTATTATATTGTTAGACCATATTGAATTTTAATAATTTACTTATTTTTATTATGTTATCTTGCTATTCAAAATGAGATATTTGATTTTATATGCCTCGTGATGGCAAAAAATTATAAATGTATGCTTGTTGCTTTTTTTTTTTTTTTTTTGGATAAATATCTTTAAAGTTAGTTTTATACCAGAATATATCCTCTTGTATATGTGGATTGTTCATAGAAGTACACAAATAAGTTTGGTTCAAATTGGTTCCCAAAGCTTCTCGATGTGTTAATAATGAAGCTTTCGAATAAAGCATGGATGTTGATGGCATCGATGAAGCTAATGTTAAGGATGATGATGGTGAGAATGGCGTAAATTAAGAATTTTCTGACTAGTTTGCCAAAGAGTGTCAAGAGACGGAGGGGCGAAGAAAGATTGTGGCACCAATGATGAAAGATGCAACAGAGAATAGCACCAAAAGGATGCCTAGAGGGGAGCCAACGTCATTAATGCAAGCATGATGTATAAAAGAGAAGTGGGCATCATGATACGGTCGAACCTAATTCAAAATCGATTCAAATATGCTTGAAAAAGGTTGAAACAACTTTAAATATGGTTCTTATTTGAATCGTTTTCAAACTTGGGATCTAACTAGTTTAAGATTTGAACCAAGTTTAAATTTGAATAAATTCAACTTCTTCAAAAAATTTATTCTCAATAGGGGGTATTAGTTCGAACTAAGCCATATTTTCTAAAAAACTTGAACTACGAAAATATGTCTACAATTTTTGCCTATGTAATAAATGACTTGATCATATCATATACTACATAAGAAAGTCCTAATTCATTATTAAAATATCTAATTAATTAGAAGGCTTACAAGGTCATACATTCTTTTAAGTTAATTAATTAGTGTGCCTATGTAATAATGATATATCCAACTAGCACCAAATTATATTTTTCTCCAATTACAACTTATCCCAACTATCAAATTCACATGATGGGTTGAAATAAATTCTACTTTAAAAAATCACTCAAAATTTTTAAATATGATAGCAAGAGAGAATTTGAATATTTACAACTACTCAAATTATTAAAATCATTATACTAAACCCTAACTTTTCTTTGTCTATGTTCTATCCAAGCATCCACTTAATCATACTGCATAAGCATCCACAAACAAAACTTTTGGTAACTACATAAAATGAGAAAGCTAACCTCATGTTTTCAAATGTTACTGAAAGATCAGCCAAAAAATGAAAGCCAGTAAAATCAATTAAGACTATGCCTCATAATACTATAATTGGGTGAAGGGGGTTTGGAGGTTGATTCATTTTATGATCCAAGCGAAAACCTAAGATCAAATTAAAGTCCAAAGAAGAAAAAGATAATAAAAAAACATTGCATAGTCATGTTTTCCTAGATTGTCAAAGTTATGGTCTACTTAGTGAAGATTGTCAACTCAATCTTACTTGAAGATATTTGTTAGTAAATATAGGTTGCATTATCTAAAGGTATCTTGTATGTCACAAACCGACCTGATACAACCCACTATCCCGAAGTAGGTCGCACCATGTTAAGACCGCAATAACAAATCTAAAATTTCATAAGACCTGATTAGAAGATTTTTTTCTTATTTTATTTTCATTGACATTTACAACACAAGGCATCTAATTTATCAAATATAAACAAAATTACAGCGTGAATTTCATTTCATTTCATCAAACTGTACTTTGAAAAGAATAATATACACCAATCATGATTAAACTTCCTTTTTCATTAAAATATAAGCAAATTTATGATTGACAAAAGAATGCCCATACTGAAAATACCTAAATCTAGAACTCAATTTAGGTCAACAATCTTTATCAATAGAAACTCCTCAATTGGAGTTTTACTCTTTCTTGAAACATATACAAGTACACATGGTGAGTAAACCACTTGCTCAGTGCATTATATGAAACCTACTATTGCATGGTTTAATATAGTAGTATAAAGTTTTTATACTAGCAAAAATACAAGAACAATAAATTATGTTTATAGTGAAATATCCTGATGTTTGTTTTGAATAGTATATTTAATAGTTTTGAACTAGAATGAAACAGATCTTAAGAGCAAGTACATATCAATAGTAACAACATATATATTACTTGAACATAACTTCGGAATAGAAGTAGCATAACATAACATAACATGGACATAATTTCATAACATAAACATTTACTTAAGCATGATATCATAATGTAAGCAATATAATATGAAATAACATATAACATAACATTCACATTTTCCAACAACAACAACATCAAGCCTTCATTTCATTGTGTGGAGTCGGCTACATGAATTCTTTTTTCTTCATTGTGTCATGTTAAGAGTCAATTTCTCATTTAAATCTAATAAAAAATATCATTTCTAATATTTTCTATCTAAGTCATTTTAGGTCTACCTCTACATCTCTTAGTATAGGCCAAATATAATACATATGCTCTTCTAACTGGGTCATCAAAATATCAGCATTTTATATGTCCAAATCAACTAAGGTGACTCTCTCTAATCTTATATGTCATTGGAGCTACTCCAACCTTTTCACGTATATGCTCGTTTCACATTCTATCTCTAAGAGTAAAGTTACTCACCCACTTGAGCATCCTCATCTCTACAACATTTAACTTAATTAGATTCTTCTCTTTTAACAGCCAACATTTTGTGCCATAAAGCATTGCAAGTCTCACCTCCATCTTATAGAATTTTCCCTTAAGTTTGAGGGGTACTTTTATATCACACAACAAACTCAATGAATTCCACCACTTTACCCATCCAGCTTAAATTCTACTAATAATATTGTAAAAACTCTTGAATTTCAAAAGATATGTTTTGACCTACAATAGTCAAAAGTAATTTTAAAAGTCATTATAGATCAAAATTGTAAATCATCTTTGTCATAACATAGATATTATTGTGCTCTAATTCTAATATTTTTTCATAATTTTCAAACATTAGTGCAATTTCTTACATTAGTGCAATTTCTTAAAGAAATTGATATATATCGGTGCAAGTAGGTTTTCTAGAACTATTAGGTGTCCATTTTACAAACTGATTTCACCCAAGTATTTTAGACCAAAACCTTAGCCTTAGATGATATTAAGATAATTTAGTATAATTAGTAAATGATAATAACCTTGCCAATTAAGCAAGATTATCACACTCATGAGTATGGATGTTATGTTAAGGTATATGTGCATTTATTTATTTGCAAACAGAATGTGAGAGAATTAACTATATAGTAATCAACAAGGCAATGCATATGTTTTGTTGCAAAATTCTGGTAAAAAATTCACCCATCTATATTTCAAGATGTTTGGCCATATGCCAATAGTGTATTTACTAATACATAAAAGGACAATTTAATTTAATTTAAAAACTTTCATCAATAAAATCTTTTTGTTAATTATTTATTATGTATTTTTTTTAGTATTTTTTTATATTTAATTGAAGAAAAAGTATTTTATTTTAAGAGTCACAATATGCATATCATATATTTAAAATTATTTCATACTTTCTTTAATTAATAAGAAGACTAAATCTAAAAATAATTAACTCTTTTAATTATTAAAACTTAAATTATTTTAAATTTTTATGCATTTAAAATCACTTGTTCTAGTTTATTACCCACTCAAAAAAGCTTAGTAGGCAAGGATTTATATATACTATAAAATCTATTTGGGATACATTAATTTTTTATAAAGATAATTGTAAAATTAGTATAAAAAATATCATTTTTAAAAACTGTTATGATTATTATAAATTGTCTTAAAGTTCCATAATAATTTTTTCACAATTTTCAAATATTATTGGATATAGTTATAAAAAATAATTTTTCAAAACATTTTTTTTTAAATGAGCAAGAAGAAAATATGAATCAAATAAGTGTGATTAAATTCTAAAAAAAAAACTATACCAATTAAATCTTTAGTAGTATATACCATGAATCAGAACTCAAAAACATATCCTAAAATTGTTCGAAGAATACCAATTAAATCTTTAATAGTAGTATATACCATCAATCAGAGCTCGAAAGTATATCGTGAGACTATTTGGAGAATAGGAATTAAACTTAAAAAAAAAAAAAGTTGAAATGCTAACTTAGGGTCCATTTGGAATAGCTATTAACTACAGGTTTTTTTAATGAATTTTTTATATTAGAACGCACAAAGAAAACTATCCTAAACAAAGCCTTAGAATCAATTTTGAGCACAAAATGGGCTCAAAATAGAGTCAAATTGAACATAAGCACAAAATAAAAGAAATATAATGTTCAATGGTACCCTAGATTTTCAAAACTATGCCTTTTATTCTTCACATTTTTTATTCACTAATCTCTACTTTAGTTTCTTGCATTGAAGACTACTCTCATTATAGAAAAAATAAATCTATGTTTGAAACAACAAAAAAAAGGGATATTCACCATTAATAACCCACAAGAAAAACAAAATGCTTTGTGAAAGCATGAGCCCTTAACCAAAATTCAAAAAAAAAAAAAAACTAAGTAGATCATATACAAACACAGCTTGACCAATGTGAGTTCAAGAAGAAATCACAGAAGAATAGGCTCATAGTACAGAGCAAAATGTGCTGGAATGATCAACTTGAAGTGTTTAGGTATACAAAACCGATGGGTAACTATCAACTAGGTAGAGCTTACTGCATTTCCACTTCCATTGCCATCAACTAAACAGCACTCAGTTTACTGTAGAAAAGATGCCAAATATATAAAAGATAATAATTATAGACTGACAAACTCAAAAGAGGCCTCTAGCTGAGAAAGAATGATGTGAAATGAGAGCAGAATTAGTACCTTCTGTCAAGCAATTTTGGGATTCAAAGTTGTTAGAAGGATCTTCCTTTATCGATGCAGTACCCTTTAGTATATTCTTCAGTTCCTTTTGCTTCCTTGCACTTTCAGACCTGAACCAGAAAAAAGGAGAATAGTAGGCCATTTGAATTCTTGGCAACTGTTAATAAAAAGAAAAGATTAATAGAACATGAAAAGCTATAAACCACTTCTAATCCTCAATTATTAAAGGTGATAACAGAAGGTTATCTGCAAACCACAAGAAGACAAAGCAAAGTAGTTAATAAAATCTCTCTTAGATTTGCCACCTACAATTCTACTAGGGCTGTAACCGGGTCAAACCAATTAGTAAGTTGGCTCAAACTCAAGTTAATGTACGACTCATCAGTTGAGCTTGATCGAATAAAAAGTTAAATTTGAGCTAACTCAAACTCAACTTGCTAGTTCGCTCTCTCATTTTAAGAAATGTGAATATAAAATGCACCTAAAATATTTTAAAATTCAATGATTTTAATATAAATTTGCTAGATATATTTTAAAATTATCTTTATTCCTTTAGGATATTATTATAATAATACATAAAAAAATGATATTCTCTTTTATAATAAATAAATAAGTTCATGAGCTGACTTTAACATGCAAAATGAAGTTCAAACTTGAGCTCAAACTCAATTAACTAAACAAGCTCAAGCAATGGATGGCCCAAGCTTGGCTGGACTGATTTTCACCTCGCTTGGCTGGACTGATTTTCACCTCTAAATTATATGATTGCTTAGCTTTTATTTACAGAATAAGCCTATAATGTAAGAGTTTATATCATATAAAAGCACATGAACATTATACGACATTAATTACATTTATAATGATATGTTTGTATGGTATATTTGGAAAAGGGGAGTTAAAAGGACAGCTTTAAAACAACTAAACAAACCGTTAAGTAGGGAACGAGAAATATAACTTAAGCAAATATTCTCACACTACAACCAGCACATTGAGGATTCAATGCTAAAATTATTTATGCATGGAAAATTAATATGTTTTGGTAGGCCATCCATATGGACAAATTTTAAGGCCAAAAGCATATTTCAAGTTTTATCATTGCCAAAGATCATAAACGGAACAAACATTGAAGATTTTACTGTATCAAAGCACATTTGGTTCCAAAGTTCAGAGAATAAAAGAGACCACTGTAAATTTGAGATAAACAAGAGCTTTTTAAGGCGAAATGAAAGGTTTCATGTTTTCTGTACCTCAAAAAGGAAAGATATTGTTCCACCAGTTGTTGATCATCATCAAATATGAACCACTTCTCTTGAGGAGTAAACACACTCCAATTCTCAATATCTGAAAGGAAAATTGTAAAAATTCTGTAATTGCAAAGAACATGTAGAAATGCCAGGGCAATATACTTGGCCATCAATGGTGGGTAAGTAAAAGTCAAGTATAGACCTTGGACCATAATGGTTGAACTTCTTTCATAGCTTTTTAATCTCCAGAACACAGTTCCATCCTTTTCTAGAAACAGGGGACTAATCCGAACAGCATCTGGTGCTTGTTTCTCTTGATAATTGTTGAGATATGAACAAAGAACAGCAACTTCATAAATATATAGGCTTCTTGATGTTTCTAAGTAGTCTTTCAAATAACTCTTAAAAACAAGTTGAAAACAAGAGAAAAAAAATTACTGGAACTAGAATTGCAATGATCTACATTAACGCACAATGATTTCATTAAAAAATATAAACTACGATCATAGTGGCAAGGTAAATGGTGTGTAACCAATGAATGCAAGTTATTGATGTACTGTTGCATACTCTTTGGCAAAAGCTCAATCGACTCTAACATTTCTTGATGAGCTTTTTCAGTTTCATGTCGTATTTTTGAAATAAGTTCGCCATGCTCAGATATTGAAAGTTGAGTGGCCCCTTCTGTTGGGAGCATTGCTTTGGCAAGATCATTTTTAAGAGTTTGCTTGATAAGTTTTTCCTGTAAACATTTGAAAGAAAAAGGTAGATCTTCAAGTGGCGTTTCTCCAGAATTCTAACAAAATGGATAATTTAAACTGCATTTCCATTTGCCCACCTTTGTTTTAGCAGCGCCAATCTGTTCATTCCTTTCCTTCTTTTCTTCTACAAACTTTGCATACTCTTCATCAAGAAATTTCCTCAGTGCTCTAATGAAATAGTACACAAAATTGAAAACTACTATGAAAATTTTATGATATAATCAAGTTTCAGAAAGAAAAATACTTACTCAGTGCCAAGAGCCTCGTCACAAAGAAACACTAAGATCCTTAGTTTTCTTGACGAATCCAAATTGTTGTATTTAGAAGGGTTGTCAATAAAATCTAAAGGCAACCCTGTTGCAAGATGTTTATATTGGTTGAGGCATTTACCAAGAGCTTTTAACCATGAATGTTCACCATTGGTTTTCAAGTAGTGCCTTCAGGATTAATTACGTAAAAAGTAGTCAATATCAGTGTACCAAACAATTGTGATATGAAACTTCATAGCATACTTTAAAATGCATACCCTTCTCCCATGTCCTCTAGGATGAAGGAGAGCAATCTGATTTGAAATTGAATAATTGCAGATGCTGTTCGGCAATGACGAAGTGAGATAGAGCCTCTTAACAATCCCCTGATAATTGCTTCAGGCTGCCCTTTCTTTATATCAAGAACCTAGAGTCGAATAATGTCATTATTTAAACAAAAGAACAAAAACATTATATAACCAAATACAGACACAAAAAGGAAAAATTTTGTGTCCAATCCAAGATTTGTTTGGTGCAAACCAAGGATTTAACAATGCCCAGTGAAGCTTAATCTGATTTTATAGGCTAGTTAAGTATAGATTGATTTATTTAATAACTTAATTAGCTAAATTAATTAAAAAATGACTAAAAATTTCTTAGGTAATTTTACTTTGAAGTGTTTGATCATAAGAGAAAATATAGTCAAATAAAATTATAATTTGGGGTTAATAAAAACCAATGCATTTACTTAAGTTATATACAAATTTTTTAACTAAAAGATGACAAGCCTTCAAATATTTACAATTATTAGAATAAACTCCTTATTTAGATTATTACATTAGATGTTTTACTTTTAAGAACTTGATCCTAAAATAAATTTTAGTATCATTCTTCTTTTAATAACAAATCAGAAAGAGAATAAAGAGAATAACTCCCTTATTTATAACCAAATTATTTAGAATTGATAATATTTGAGTTTGAAAGATGGATTCTGTTGAAGTTAGCATCAAAACTAACCGCTTACAAACTTAATTCTTGTGTTTATTTAGATTACAATGATTTTATTTTTACCATATATATATATATAAAGATGACTTATAAGCCAACGTAATTTAGAACTACCTTCTTAATTTTAGAAAGAGAATTCTAAACTGAGAAACTCCTTTCATTCATTTTTAATCTTCCCTAAATAGTCTCCTAATGTTATAATGCATATTGTAGAATATACTTTATTCATTCACAATAGTACTTTTGTTCAGATCAATTTGATGTAATGCTTGGTTAACTTTATTATGTTACTTAGTACATAAATTTATGTTGTTTAAGTGTATTGCTTTAATTGATGTGAAATAAATCTTGATTATAACACTTTGATCATAATATGGATATAAAAAACATACGAGTAAATAAAATAACAGCAAAAATAGTTATGTCAACTCTATTCAAATTGAAGCAACAACAACAAGCTTTTATCCCACTACATAGAGTCATCTACATAAATTCTTTTTCATCATTGTATCTACTAAGAGTCAAATTCTCATTTAAATATATTTCAAAAAAAGATCATTTTTAAATCTACTTTTCTATCACACAATAGGCCGGATGCATTCATCCACTTCAACCATCCAACTCGAATTCTATAAATAATATCCCCATCTATTTCACCATCTCGCTTTTAGACTCAAAATATCTAAATTGTGCACTCTTTTCAATGGCTTGATCAACCAATGTTAATATCCCGCTACTAGAACTATGACTACTTAAATTACACTCCATGTATCCGGTTTTAAATTTACTCAAACGAAAGCATTTAAACTCTAGTCTTATCAACAAGAAGAATATCATTAGAAAAAAAAAAAAGCATACTTCAAGATAAATTCTCTTGCAAATGTGCATTAAGAACTAAGAACATCCATGACTGACGCAAAACAATATAGGCTTAAAGTTGATCCTAATCCAACTAAAATAAGAAAATACTTGGTCGAACTATTTTGTGTTTGAATATAAGTAACAACTCATGTATGCATATCCTTAATGACTTGAATATAAGTATTATTAACTAATTTCTATGTAGTGAAGTAGTGGTGAGACCTACAATGCTCAATTCAAATTGCCACAAACTAAAATTTTCTGATTTGAGCCAAATCAGCTCAAAATTGAATCAGTTTAAGATATGAGCCAATTTTAAAGGCAGGGAGATTCATTATTAGGACAACTACGATATGACTTCAAAATGAACTAGAAAGTTTCAAGTACTATACCTTGGAAAATACGTTGCAGAATTCAAAAAATTGCAATGCAGGTCCAACATCTTCAGCTGGCAGATCAAAACCTGCAACAGTAGTCAGAGGTTTCCCTGGAGGTCGAACAGGCATTGTAGCAATCTTTCGAGGCCGCCCCCTTGGCTTGAGAGGTTTTTCCATGGTCTCGTCCATAGCAACGTCATGCAAGTTTTCCTTGTTATCTGCATGTCCAGGCAAACCTTCTGCTGGACTCTTGTACTGCAACGTTTTCTTATTTTGATCCTCGTGACTCCTTGCACATTCAACCTTAAGATTCGTCTGTTTTAACTTTTTCAATGGTTTTCCATCATTCTTCTCTACGAGCGCACCCTTCCTAAAACAATCAGCTTCCATGCTCACAGTATCATTATTTTCGAACTTGCAATTTTCCTTATCCCTGCATCTTTTTGATGCCACTTGTCCCTTCCAATGTAGATCATGCAAGTAGTAATAATAAAGAAAGCAATTCCGACACGAAAAAAAAAACTTAGTTGCAGAACCGGCAATTCAATCAAGATAAAAGTTACCATTTTTGACACAGGGGATCCCTTCGGTGAGGCGATAGCCTCTCTCGGCACATTCTCTCCTCCGTGACTTAACAAGTCATGAACTGACGAGAACCCAGTAAGTTTGGCTGTATGGACGAGAATCCCAGTTGGCTGCTGGCCCTTCTTCTTCCTACAGTATTAAAACAAGAATCGAGCCACAAAATTATGGAACGAAGGAAAAATAAAACGAAACATCCGCCTAGAAAAGTTAAGAATAGGCTACATGCAGAAGCTACAGTTGCAGACTCCCCTGCATTTAGGGCACTTCCAGTCATCCGAAGTAGAAACTTCCTCGGCCTTCTCACCATACCTGGGTCAACCAATTCCCTAAGTATACAACATTAGATTGATACGATATTTTGAAAAGAAAATACCTGTTAAGGAGACACTTGTGGCAGAACTTGATAGTGCAAGGCTTTTCCCTTTTCATCGCCTTGCAGGAGGCTGAGAAGTCCATAGTCTTCTGCCGGCACTGCTTACATTTCATAGGAAGTGAAATGCAGGTAAAATTAGAAAAATGCGGGAATCGGTTAGCTAGGTTTTACCTGGTGACATGTCTTCCCGTTCTCCGAGTCGTAGATCCGCCCTCCCTGAACTCGAACTCCGGGGTTCTTAGAACGCTTGACCGGGGACATGGCAATCTCCTTCTTGTTCTCGCTGTCATCCATCTTTCGGCGACGGCTAACTGGCGAAGTAGGAGGGACGGCCATGGACGAAAGCGACAACCTTCTTTGATTCCAAATGGGATTGTTGAATCTGCGGAGGTGAGCGCGAAGAGAAGGTGACGTTAAATTTGTTGAGCATTTTCGCTTTTGCCGCCAAAGTTTTTTTTTTTTCCTTTATTTTTCGAATGACCGACGTTTTGGAGGGTATTTTTTTGGAAGGCTCAGAGCGCCAAAAATATGAAAATAAGTTGTAATTTACAACTTTAACATATTAATTTTATTATTTACATGCATGATAGTCCAAATATTAATAAAAGAAAATATAATTGTCACATCCCGGGTTCAGAAGGAGCTACACTCCTCCAATTAGGGCTGCAACGAGCTACTCATTGCTCAGTTCGATTAAAGCTCGTTTGTGATTGTTTAATCAACTAAATAAACAAATTTGAACAATATTTTAAATATTTGATTCTTAAATAAACAAGCTTGAACACTAATGTGTTCAGTTTATTTATGTTCGTGAACAACATCATTTAAAGCTCGTGAATAAGCTTGATATTAGGCTGGATAAGAAGCTTGATTCGTGTTAGATTCATGTACAAGAGAACTTTCACATTTGTCCATGTTTTCTTGATTGTTTGTTTAAAAAAATTCATGAACAAATATAAGATGAATCATAGATCACTTGTTCGTGAACGAACTCATTTGGTGACTCAAAAAAAAAAAAAAACTAGTTATATATGTTCATAAATTTGCTCTTTTGATAGCTTAAGAATACTCGTTAGATATGTTCATAAACGTGCTTGTTTGATATTTTAAAAAAATTCATTGACTATGTTCACGAAAATGCTAGATGTAATTATTTGTTAGGAGGCTCGATAAAACTCGTTTGTTAAGTTAATGAACATATAGAAGTAGAGCTCGTTTATACTTCATTAAAGCTTGTTTGTTTAAAGCTCGATAAGCATTAAACGAACTAAACATGAACCAAACATGAACACTCGATAATTTAAACAAACCAAACATGAACACAAACAATAAACTCAAATCAAACACGAACCAAACTTGAACAAGCTGATAATAAATGAACACAAACATGAACACTCACATACTCAGCTCGGCTAGGTTCGTTTGCAGCCCTACCGCCAACAAGTGGTGTCATTAAGAGAATAAAACATACTTTGTATTCACAAAGAGAATATGCATATACAAGAGATACAACATGATATGTATATATGCATCAGAGTAAACAAAGGAAGTGAAATAAAATCAATCCATTAATAAAAGTTCAATTAACAAATTAGTTCAAATGATAATAATTCAGAAACAAGCCAACAAGAAAATATAAATATAGCAAAAACATGAAAGCAATTTATTCAATCTTCAAAATACATAAACATAATAAACTACTATAAAATAATAAATACAAAAAATAATTAACTGCTGATAACCTTGTTCATGAGGTGGCGGTCCACCAAACATGTACACGTAAGACCTGCTGAAAAAGACAACGGGTGAGTTTGAAAAAATCAAACTCATCGAGTAAGTACTATCTATCAAAGTATAAATAACAGAGGAATGGACATGCAATATGAGCAACTAAATGGTAGAAATAATAACCTAAAAAGATGAGTAGAAATCTATACTCCAAAATTGAAATTGTCATGAGATATGTTATGTTTCATGTAATATAAATCTAATATGCTTGTGACATTAATGTATGCGACAAGTTATTATTAATGTAATTATATTAAATGCTAGAAAATGATATCACACTAGGTATCATCATGCCTCAAAATGACATATATTCATTTATTACTTCTAATTCAGGATTGCTTATATTCTTTACATTTAAATTATATATATATTGGTTTTGTCACATTAAACGGAGGTCTTTTCTAATGACCCGGTAAGGAAATTGAGGTATTAGATTTGATTTATGTTAATAAAGGTAGAGGTAGACCTAAGCATCCTCATCTCTGCAACACTTAACTTAGTATTATGCTTCTCAACATAAGCACTATTAACTCCTTTTTTTCAAGAACTATCCATAACATTTTTCTTGGAACTTTATCATATGCTTTCTCTAAATCAATAAATATCACATGAGATGGTTGTAAGACATACAATGCATTCTAATTCAAGTAAAGTACATTTGTTCGAAAGTATAGCACGTACACTTGTTAAGGTTGCATATCTTCTTATAAATATTTTCATAACTATGTAGGGGAACGTTTGCTTCAACGTCCAAATGAATATCCAAGAAGAGAGATATCGGATGTACAACAGATTGTTACCGGGTCGAAAAGAATTGACAAATGAATTTATACATGGAGTTGAGACTTTCATTCAAGTTGCATCTCAAATGTCTTCCTTTAAGTTTGATAAAATATTTAGATGTCCATATTTGAAGCATAAAAATCAAGCATTCCTCAAGCCCGATGATATGAAGCTTGATTTATATCGTAGGGGATTTCTTGCAGACTACTGAATTTAGACATCACATGGCGAGTACGAGCCACATAGAGATACTCATGCCGGTTCATTCATAGCTTATAAAACATTTGATGAAGATCAAATGAGTAGATCCTATGAAGAACTTATTTTTTGATGTAGCAGGTCCTAATTTAAGAGTTAGTATGGAAGAGCCACCAAATGTAGAAACCCAAAAATTATTTGAGTTACTACATGCAGCTCAAAAATCAATTTGGGACGGTTGCAATACTCATTCAGAATTATCCATTGCAGTGATGATACTAAGTATTAAAGCTGAGTATAATATTCTTCGTGATTTATTCAATGACTTTATTGATTTTCTCAAGGAAAATAATCCAACGGACAATTTAAATCCCCTCAAATTTGTACCGAACGAAGAAATTATTATCCAAGTTGGGTCACACTGCTACAAAAATTGATTGTTGTATCAATAGATGTATGTTATACTACAATGATGATGCAACAGAATTTTATTGTCGCATCTACAATGCTCCTCGGTTTAAGAAAAACTCCAAAAAATAACGTCGTCAAAAGAAAGATGTTCCATATTCTCATTTATTTTATTTACTGATCATTCCAAGACTTCAGTGACTCTATGCATCAATAAGTTCAGCAGGTCATATGAGATGGCATAAGGAGAAATTAGCAAAAAGTGGTGTTTTTTCTCATCCATTAGATGCTGAAGCGTGGAAACATTTTGATCAAGTGCATGCTTCATTTGTTGTTGAATCCTACAACATAAGATTGAGATTATGTGTCGATGGTTTTACCCCATATAGTTAAGTAGTTACACTGTATTCTTGTTGGCCAATTATACTAACACCATACAACCTTCCACCATAGATGTATATACCTAGTCTGTACATGTTCTTAACTCTTATAATACATGGACCACATAATCCAAAAATAAAAATTGACATTTTTTTGCAACCATTAATTGATGATCTCAAGTTATTATGGGGAGAAGGAGTTCTAACATATGACATATCAACAAAATAAAATTTTCTCCTTCGAGTTGCATTGTTGTGGACCATTGGTGATTTTCTATCTTATGGTATGTTCTCTGGTTGGAGCACAGCAGAAAAATTAGCACGTCTTTACTGCATGGAGAATATTAAAGCTTTCACACTAAAACATGAAGGAAAAAATATTTGATTTGATTGTCATTGTATGTTTCTAATTATTGTGATTGACTATAGTGGCGTGTTGCCCAAAATTATTGTGATTGTTGTATTTTATGTGCATGTTTAGAGTTTAGGGTAAAAATCCCTCAAATAGAGGGGAGACTATCAAATTTTGTTTTCAAATGCTATAGGTTTACGGTGGCCAACCGGTGGTTTGGCCCCAGAAACTTCGATACCGAATGGCTAATTGACGCCGCTGGAAATCTACTCAAACCGCTGGTATTTAGCGGCGGTTTACATATGGTGTCCAATGGTAGTCCGACGACACGTCGGCGATCACACTGCCGGTAAGTCCTTCAGTTCTAACCACCGGTAATAGTACCGGCGGTCTATACTATACTAACAACAATTTTTTTACCGGCGGTGTAACGGTCGGTACGCCACCGGTAACAACACCGGTGCTCAGACCGCCGGAAGATAACCGGCGCTCAGACCGCAGGAAAATAACCGGTGGTACAAACCGTCGTTGCAAAAAAACCGTCTGTAATGGTTTCCGACGCCTTTTTTTTTCAGCGGTTTTTAAATCGTCGAAAAGCCACCGGTGTTTTACAAAACCGCCGGCAAAAACTGCTGGTAATGAGTGATTTTCCTGTAGTGCGAGAAGGTAAACACCAACCTAAAGAAATCTAATTGTTTCCTGTAGAGTCGTCACTCTAGGGGCCTCTCAACCCCATCTAGCCAAAAACCAATAAGGTTATACTGACAAACACCCAAATATACAGCACAAGTATTATTTCATGGAATCATCATATGTTATATAAATCTACATGATAATCACAATTTATATAATCAACATGATTTATAACATGAGAATCATAAACTGCATTACATACAACTAATGTATATGAATTTAACATTTTATAATAAAGACCATTTTAAATGCAAAAAAACTCGTATATCAACAAATAAAATAATACTATTTCTATCACATGATGATTTCTTGAGCCATAATTAAGATTATTGGCATGCTCAATATTAACATATATTAGAAATAAAACTGGCGATCTAAATAATTATAAAATTGGAATTCTAATACAAATATCATGGATTATGCCCATAACAAAGAAGGGTATGTTCACACCAAAAATAAATAGCAGTTACTTACTTTTAGGCTAGGGTCGAAACTCTAAGCCTATTCAATATTGAATTGACAAGGCTACAAAGACAATGCTCCAAAAGTCCTACAAAAAGAATCCTAATTTAATATACAAATTAATTGGAAAAAGACTTCAATACAATAAACATAAGACTCTCACACAAATAAAAGCACAAAACTATATAGGTATCGTTAATCAAGATATAACACCCCAATTCCAATTAAACATCAAAACAACAACAATAATAATAATAAATTGATAACGATCATCACCCACTAACTTGTTTGGCAGGTATGGATGGAGGAAAA